GTTCCGGACGTGATCCAAAAAGAGCTTTGAAAGACAAACATGAAGGCCTTCACCTGCCAGCTACAGACCTTGCCTATTTTGGTGCTGTTTGCTCTCTGCTCTACATTTCTTTTCCTCCTTGTTGCTCGGCCTGAAAGGGAATTTTCTGAAATTCCCCCTGTGATATTGAAACTGTGCAGCAATCCCCAAAACAGCCCAAGTTCTGCACAAGACCATCCAAGTGTCCCAGAATTTGAATTGGAAGCTGTACTTGAGCAGGGAAAGGAGGCCAGCTCCCTTGCCTTGCAATCTCCCGCACCATTGAAAGCAACCACCCGCCATCCCTTAGAGGTTGTCTATTCCAAAGGATATAATTTCCGTCTCAATGAGCCGGATAAGTGCCAAGAGAGGCCCCCTTTCCTGGTCTTGTTTGTGGTAACAGAGCCCCAAGATATTGCCAGGAGGAAAGCCATCCGGCAAACGTGGGGCAATGAGAGCTCGGTGCCTGGCGTCTCCATCCTCCGCCTCTTTTTGACTGGCGTACATCCCTTATTTGGATCCCTACTCCAGGACCTGCTGGAAGAGGAGAGCTCCATCTACAGAGATATTATCCAGCAAGACTTTCAGGATACCTATAACAACCTTACCCTGAAGACTCTGATGGGCATGGAATGGATCAGCAAGTTCTGTCCCAATGTCCCATATATCATGAAGGCAGACAGCGACATCTTTCTGAATGTGGAATACCTGGTGACACAGCTACTACAGCCTCACCTGCCCCCCAAGAAAGACTACATGACGGGTTACATTTACTGGAACACAAAGCCAATCCGTGACAAGGCCTACAAATGGTACGTGCCACAGGAGGTGTATCCCAATGACACCTACCCCCCCTACTGCGGAGGCCCTGGGTATGTGCTTTCCGGGGATCTGGCCAAAAAGATCTACCAAGTGGCTCAGACCATCAAAGTAATCAACATGGAAGATTCTTTCATGGGAATCTGCCTTCACGAACTGGGCATTAATGTGACAGACAGCCCCGGAGGCCTCTTCAATGTCTATAAAATCAACTATGAGAAGTGTCAATTCTCTAAGCTCATAGTTGTGCATCACTATGGGCCTGAGGAGTTGCTGCAGATTTGGCCAAGCTTTCAGGATCCAAATAAAACGTGCAATAGCTAAAGACACAGGGAGATGAACTCTTGCAGGAAAGCTGGTGTGGAGGACTGGAGGCCATATGCGGGCCACAACATGCAACATTAGACATTTGCACTTGACCCAAACATATGCTGCCAAAAGTGCGCACACAGAGGAGGGGAAAAGAGAACAATGTCCTGTAGTCGTGTCATGATGTTAAAAGATCACATAGGCCATCCCTCTGCTTTTGTGACCTCAAAAGTCAGTTTCTTCCACCTAAGTTGCAAGTGTTCATCAGGTTTGGTTTGGTTTATTTACAATTCATATTCCTGCCCTCTGGGACTGTTCTTGTTTGGTCTATTCTGGATTATACTTTTACACTGGACACATTTACACAATAATGCTGCCAAGCCAACAGTGATGGTGCTGAACCAACAACCTCAGAATTGTGAGACCATGTCCTCACCTGTCAGAACATCACCATCTTCTTGACATGCAGCCCCTGTGATGTCCGATCTCACAGCATGACTCTTATTTGTAATTTTTGGGGAAGAAGACAGTACAAGGCTACAGTCTCATCGGCAACCTTTACTCAGAATGTTTTTTTGCAGAGAGCTGATATTTTGCAGTGTACACAAGAAGACATTTGAGGTGTGTCGAATGTCTATCATTGGCAACAAGAGGCTGTGCTCAGACATTTGGGATGGACTAAATAGAGACTTGATATAGACAATGGATGGCTATTTTATTTAGCCTCGACCTTAAGAGTTTGCGTGATCATTTATTTTTATTTACCTGTATTTATAAGCTGCTTACATCTAGGTTCTAAATCTAAAGCAACACACACAAATCATTCAAATAGGTACAAATTTTTAAAATGTAAAATCAAGATCCTATATAAACTAATGCAAACTACATTCATCCCTCCACATTCACTGGGGTTAGGAGCACAGGACCCCCGTGAATGTGGAAGAACTGCAAATAACAAAAGCACTATGTTTTTACCTGAAAGAACACCTCTGTAGGAATCTCTAGGTCCTCCAGTGCAACTCTGTGATCAATATCTGCCACACACTGACCATAGAATTGCACTGGAGGAGCTGCAAATGCCTAGTGGAGGGTTCTCTCTAGGAATCTCTCTAGGTCCTTCAGTGTGACTTTTGGTTAAAGTTGACCATAGAGTTGCGCTGGAGGACCTAGATATTCCTAGAGAGAACTTATTAATAAAATCTGTGAATAATCAAATCCATAAAAGTCAAAGCCGCAAAGGTGGATGGACGAGTGTACACTGAAAAGGCTTTGCATAAGTAGATGTTTCTTCAATTTGAGTCTTAAAAAACAAAGAATTGTTGGTATATGTGTAATCTCAGAGAAAGCTTATGCCATGGAGTGCCACCATGCTAAATGCCCTGCTCTGAACTACTATGGAGCAGATCTGAGGAACCTATGGCATTACAAGGAAGGCTTCTCCCAATGATTTGAAGGACTAAATGGGTTTATAGGAGAAAAGGCATTCTTTCAGGTGAGCATATCCCAGATTGTTTAGGTCCCAGATTGTTTAGGATGTAATACAATGCAAACCTCGCTTCTAATCTGAGAAATAGGAAGCCAGTGCAATTCTTTCAGCAGAGGGAAACCTTAGGGCAAATAGGGGGTGTCACTTAACTAAAACTTCCATGCTACCTCCAGATTCTGGAAAAGTATTAAGAGGCAACCCACATGAAGCAAACTGCAACAATCCATCCTGGAGGCTATTATTACCTGGAATACTGTGGCCAAACTCTGGATCCAAGAATGGCAAAGAAAGCCTATTAGCTAAAGTTGGTCAAAAGCACTCTGAGATACAGAGGCTGCCGAAACAGCTGGCCTGTTGAGCTCCTGAACATGTGAACCCCCGTATCTTCCCAAAATTCAGCCTTGGCCTATTGGCCACCCTCCAGGCCATGGCTGCATCCAGGCACTGGTCCAGGGTTTGTACTGTCAAACTTGATTCAGATGCAATAGTGGCACAAAGGTTTGCCCCACATCTCCTGGCGACTGCTCCCAACAGCATCATATATAACAGGTGTTGAAGGAAGGGGGCAAAATGGTTCCCTGCAGCATCCCATAACACAATTGCCTAGGGTCCAAAAAACAGCCTCCCAGGAACCAACCTTTAAGGCTGCAGGAGCAGGACATTGGAGGGCATTGCATCAAATCCAAGCCTGCTGAGTAAGTCCATGGTCCATGGTACCAAAAACCAATAACAGCAAACAAGAGCAAGGATCATAGAATCCTTGAG